AGAGAGAGAGAGAGAGAGAGAGAGAGAGAGAGAGCTCTTAAACCACCAGTACATGGCCCCAAGCAACTTGAGGAAATGAGAGGAGCTGCCAGCCTAGGATGTGCTAGTGTTTTACTGGTACTTCGAAAATTTCTGATTTAGACATATGGAAGTTGAGATGCATTCTTCACATCTAACTTTGAGATGGAACGCAATGAAAACAAATGTATCACCGATAGCACAGCAGTTTACTTGACTTGAGGGGAAGGGGGCTTGGCGGTTGGGGGGGGGGGGGTTGGGGAAGGGGGGGGAGATTACAAACAGTAGAGGACAACAAGAAATAAAAAACAAAAAGGCAATTTTGCACCCATGATTCCAGACCAGAAATCAGAACCTAACATATGACAAAAGCAGAGCAAGACTGAGAAAGACCCAAGTCCGACCTGCAGTCCGCCCTGCACGAGGATCGGTTTAGTTTCTATACCTGGAATACACCAAGTTCACGATTTGTGTAGGAATCTGGTAGCTTGAGGCAGACCCATACATTCACTTTTTGACCCACAGGAATTGGCCTTGGACCATGCGTTGGCGACTTTGCCGCCTGTTTGCCACAAACCAGGAATGGCAAGATCAGCTTAATAACAACTCTCCTTAACCTCCAAAACTTTTGACGAGCGCAAAAGCCCACACCCGTCCAGAGTAGCTCTTAGGCGATGTAGCCCATTCTGCTGTGTTTCTTTTCCCACTACTCTCTTCCCCCGAACACAACGCACCCTCATTATGGCTGTACCGAACAGAAAAGATAGCTTGTACGCATTCGTTTCCAGGGTGTGTTATGTTCAGGGGAAGACGGTAGGTTTCTTCATAGCTCATTTAGGTGCTCCAGAAGTCGTTACAAGTAATCAAATCTTGAAAACATCACAAGGTTCACGACTTCGGACCATAAACCTACGTCCTGCTGTCACAGTGCTGTGTGTATCTCCTCCCCCTCCCTTTTTTGTTCTTCTTTTGATCTGTTCCATTTGAAGGATCCCCACTAGTACCTTTGACGGTTCGAAAATACTCGGCCTCCGACCTTTCAGGAGGCCGAAACGAAACGACGGCCGCCAATCAGATTTATCAACGGCAGGCTCGGCCTCCTAAAAGTTCGGGTGCTGGCCACGACTTGTCGAAAATAGGCTCGGAGGTACTGGTGGTTTAACTTTACCAATTCTCTACTGGTTGATAGAGGACATGCAGGGCGGGAGATCACAACCGTGTTGCCATTCTTCTACATACTCTCACACAAAACGACAAAAAAAAGAAGGTTGGAACAGAAAGCAAGGACCACAGCAATCAGGCAGCTATATACAAAAAGCAGCTCAGCGATTCAAGAAAAGAAGGTATAGCATGGCCACGTTAAACACTCCCACCCGGTATTTCACACTGTAATTGGGCTTAAAACAACAACCCTGCTGAGCGACGAAGAAAATTCCCATTTGGTAATGGGTAGGCCCCAGCCAGGCTAAAAAAACAGGCCCGGCACAGGTTCGGCCTGGGTGCAAAACTGCAAACGGGGCCCGCTCACGTCTGGTTGGGATACTCGCCCAGGCTTGGGATCCGGCAGCCAAAATAAATGAGTGGTGGTTTAATTACTGTCCACCCCCCTTAGGATCCCCATGGTGACAGGCGCAGAAGGGTGGGTTAAAAAAGCAGGCAGGCAAACAACAATTCTTCTGCTCGAGGTTGGGCAGGGGCAATGGGGTCGTGGAAGGCCTCTACCGTCTTCCCCTGCAAACAATGTATGGTCATTCTCACCGTATCTAGACTGAAAGTGGCCACAAATACAGCTGCGATGACCTTACGTTCTATTTGGGGGGGGACGGTAGGCAATTTGCCGGGCCACGGCGACGCAAAGAATCAGCAGGTTTGAACTCCGAAGCAAAAAACTTTTAGCTCACGGTCGCTTCCGAAGGAAATAACTTTTGGCTCAACGTCAATTCGCAAGCAAACAACGTTCAACGGTCAAGCGAATAAGGGACGCTGGACCCGGTTTCCAGCACGAGTTCCATTCCGGGTTGAATTGTGGGGTCCCCGGCCCCGGTTGCACTTTGATATTGGAAATAAAAGTCTTCAGCCGAATCAGCTTCTCAACAACAAAACAAAAAAGAAAAAAAAGCAAACAACTTTCCGCTCAAGGTCTCACCTCAGCGGAGCCACAAGTAACACAAGGAGAGTATCAGCGACCTGATCGGTATGAAAGTACGATGCAGCGGAGTATTCTAAAGGTTGGAAAGCAAAAAGTAAAAGAAAGAAAGGAAAAATAAAAGCCCCACCAAAAGAGGCATGCACTCTGCACTATGGGAATAGCAAGCAGGGGGGAAAAAAAAAAAGAAAAAAAAAAAAAAGAAAGAAAAAAACACCGATGCATACACTTTTATACAGGGGGACTTGAACTGTTGATTCCATAGCATCAGAGCAATTCAGCGTCCACCTGTTCCCAGATGGGAACATGATACATATTAACATAATAATAATGATGATGATACGATGTCAGATACGTTCACCGGCTGAGCATGAGTGTGTGACAAGGTGTTCTTCCCGCACGGGTAAAGAATCTAAGGATTAACTTAATAATAACAATGATACATTCACCGGATGAGCATGAGTGTGACAAGTCTACAGTGCATGTCTTCAGAGTCTGTTCAGACTGATAAACACATGGAATGGAGGCTTTCAGAAGAAGAAAAAAAGCATGTTCAGATTGCTCTTGATGGCACAAGATCCCCCAGGTTAGTAAGGGGTTGGACATACAAAGGTTATAGGCTCGGCGGGTGAAAGGCCCTTCACCACATACTTGGGCAAGGCGAAACAAAGCTCTACACAGCAGGAATTTCATTTCCGAAGGCCTTGGCACAAAAACAACCGACAACGTTATTGTCACTTATTGACATGTGCGTTGCAGGTTGTTGTCCTTGTCTGTCCTACAGACTGACCATTCATCCCACCGATTGATAGAAATCTGAGATTCCAGAACGTGGGGAACAAGTTCAGACCAACAGAGACGTAATGTATTTCCGACGATGATAAAAACCACATTAAAAACAAGGGAATAAAAAGCTCAAAAGCGGAGTTTCCAAGGGGCCGCGACGTAATCCAAAAACAGGAAGGGGGGGGGTAGGCAGCCATGCCGACAGAAGCGCAGTGTCTGATTCCGCTTCACGGGTGCACTGCTGCTTGCAATCCAAAATATTTCCTGAACAGTCAAAGGCCAAAGTAATGGCCGAATAGAAAACTTCCCTGTGTCGGTCCCCGGGCCGCCTGGCTGGGGGAAGGTCGCCCAGGTACCCTCCCGGGCAGCCCAGGGCGGGCAGGGTCCGGGCAATAAGAATATGAAAAAAAAAAAAAAACCGAAAAAAATATATGTTGTGTAAAATTGCAATACAAACAACTTTTGGCTGAGGGCCACCTTGAAATTCCTGGCTAATTTTAAGATTCTTGTTTTTTGCCTAAATTTGTCGGTTACAATATAATTAGTATATATGCACAAGGAGCATAGCAACTTCCCTAACAACGCGTTCTTCGCACAGGTTACATGCATCTTGCAGCATCACCCAAAATAAAACCGAAAAGGTGGGTCGTAGTTGACGGCCTTTTTTAAGGTGCTTAGCTAAGTCAAAAGTGCCGAATCGCTGAAAGTCGATGATGCATCGTGTTGCGGATGGTCATGCGGAACCGTAATCACATATAACACAATGAACACCCTAAGCCATATCCACTAAACAAAGGCCGAACAATCTGCAACACAGCACTGTAACGCAATGGCCCTTCCTTAACATTTCAGTCCACCAATGGCCCAACAACTAAAATCACACGGATGCCGACATCTGGGTCTGCACCCACACTAAACGAGGAACATCATACGCTGCCCTATAAATGAAGGATCAACACACAGCCCCTATAGTGACACGCCAATCATGCTTGCGAGTACACCCCCTATACTGACGTGGGCCGTTGCGGTAAATAAAGTAAACAATAACCCCAATTCTCTTTTTTTTTTTTTTTTTTTTTTTACAATAACCCCAATTCTAAGCAACACCTGACTATGCAAAAATAGCAAAATGAATAAATCAATCACTGTCGTCATAATTGCATCGTCGCCAGAATTCCACACTTATCAGAATAAGAGTAAACAAAAAGTTCAGGAAAAAAGTTACAGGGAAAGAAAAAAAAAACATTCTGAGAAACACATGCAAAGAAACTAAAGAACAAAAAAAAAAAAAAGATTTCGTTGTTGTCAGAACCCCATTGCCGTCAGGATTTCATTGTTGTCAAAATCCAGCACTATTCAGAATTCGAGAATTCGAGTCGGGACTAACGACAGCTTGAAAGAAGAGCAAACAGTACGGCGTGTTTACGTCGTGCATTTCCCACGAGATTGAACACCATCAATGCCAGACACATGGTGCGATGTAAACACACATTGCACATCCAGAAATACGTCGCCAAAGTAAACACGAAACAAAAAGGAGACATGACATGCGACAGGGCCGTCGCCGAAGGGGGCCGTGTATTGTTGTTACATGTTGCGTTTTCCAGCTGCTCTACCTGCTGACCGTCTTATTCCCAACAATGCGCAATCTAATAAACCCTTTCTCCCGCAGATGCGCTACCGTCTTCACCCGAATAGGACGCCCGGTTATTATAGCTGTGCATTTGAAGCAACTTTCAGTCCAGATGCAGCGATAATGACAGGGCGCTCCATTCGGGTGAAGACGGTAGCGGTACACACAAGTAATTTACTTCTCACCAGGCCAACGCTGCTCAGTCATTATATGATAATCAGTAATTACTACTTAGAATTTTAGCAGTTCCCCAACCACCTTTGACTTCGAACCATTTCAACTTCTCACTCGCACACACAGACACACACAGAGGGTGCGAGAGGGAGGAGGGGGGAGGGAGAGGCATCCATCCTTACACACAGTGTCTGATGAGCGCGGATGAGAGGAGACAAGACTCCAAGGCATCAATTGAAGAGTTAGTACACAGGCCAAACTTCCACGCTCCATCAGGTTGCGCCCGCGAAGGTTCCTAACGGAAATGGGGCATCGGATTTTGCTTCGACTATCACAATTTGCCGAACGAAAATGGGCATTGGATTTTGATTTGACTATGATAACTCGCAAAGCGCATCTGAAAAACCAAGAGGTCAGGAAAACACAAACCCTTGGCCGGTGCTTGACCAGGGTTTCGGCGTCTAAGATTAGATTACCTGGCTGGAAGCAAGCTTATCGGGCGGAAGGAGAGGCACAGTAGCAGTCGGGCTCGGGAGTCGATAGTCAAAGTACAGGGGTTGTGTGGTCTTTACAACCGAAGGAGCAAACTGCCACACAACAAACAGGTAAACAGGCACTGTGTGGGAAAAAGGAGTGCAAGGGCCAAGCACCGCAAAGAATCGAAGGATAAGTAAGACGAGTGCACGTCGATAAATGGAGGCCAAAGAGCAACCACGCGCCACAACCAAGTAGACAACCGCACGTCAGTAAGTTGGCTTCACAATTTTCATCCGGTTCCATGCCATATTACTTCCACACAGAATCATGGTACTCAAAAATGGGCATGCAGTGACAGATGCAAGTGCATGCAAGTCCCCTTAGGAGGACTGCCCTGAGAAGATACCGTAAACAAGTACGGTTTGTATAAACAGAAGATAGTTGAAGGGAAGGCCGGACTACGACACGCGCAACGGCAACGTGTTCAGATGGGAGAAGGGATAAAACACGACAACTTCACTGCACGACGAGGTAGGGTGTCGACAGAGGTGATATGATGGAAAAGACATTGCAACCTCACACTCCGCAGAGCCTGTTGCTGTTTCCTTTTTTTTTTTTTTTTTTCTTTACGATTGACCGGATGGACCACCACCAATCTAGGAAGATATCCCGGGCGCCCGGGTCCCGATGTCACGCCCGGATTGGCGACCGGGTGACCGGCCGGGCATGACCCCCGGGCATGGCCCGGGGCAGCCTCAGCGCAGGAAAAAAAAAAAAAAAAAAAAAAAAAATCAAATCCAAAAAAATCTGAAAAAAAAAAATGTTGTGTAGAATTGCAATACAAACAACTTTTGGCTCAGGGTCATATCAGAATTCCTCACAGAACTAAAGATAAAAAAGAAAATAACCATATCACACTAAGGCACCCCCCTTTAAACCCCTTTAGCCCCTTTAAATTTCATTTACACTCCCCTTTCCCCCCCCCCTTGACAGCCAACACTCAAAAAAAGAAAAGAGCCCGGATTTGGGCTCCTCTCGGAGAGCGCGGAAAAAAACCACCGCCATTTTTTTTCTTTTTTTTCTTTTTTTTTTCCCATGACCGGGTCACCCGGGCGTCATGCCCGGGTGACCGGCCGGTCATGAAAATCTTCCTAGCCACCAATCAGATATTAAACTGATCAGAACAGATACAACACCTATTTTTAGCACGCTTCATATCTATTTTTAGCCAAAGGGCCGAGAAAGGTAACACTCAAAAAAAGAAAAGAGCCCGGATTTGGGCTCCTCTCGGAGAGCGCGGAAAAAACCCACCGCCATTTTTTTTCTTTTTTTTCTTTTTTTTTTTCCCATGACCGGGTCACCCGGGCGTCATGCCCGGGTGACCGGCCGGTCATGAAAATCTTCCTAGCCACCAATCAGATATTAAACTGATCAGAACAGATACAACACCTATTTTTAGCACGCTTCATATCTATTTTTAGCCAAAGGGCCGAGAAAGGTATAGTCTGTTGCTGTTTTTTAGCTCTAACGAAATTACAACCTCACACTCTGCAGAGGCAGTCGCTGCTCCACTCTAACGCCACTGCAACGTCACACTTTGCCAAGTGTGACATTCCTGCTGACAAGACATTTGAAATTTTTAACATCATCATCACAACTCATACAACGACACTGTTGCTGTGTGTGCAGGCATGATTTTGTATTTGTCTGAATTGCTGTGCATGAGTGCATGGGCATGTGAGAGCCATGAGCCTTGTACATGGCTCTGCGTGTGTGCACGCAAATGTGAACTTTTTTTTGATATGCCTGCAGGCCCTGCATGCACGCACGTACGTTGTCAAATAATCACCACAATAAAACCCTTCCCATAAAATGAGCCTTTGATTTTTCCACTTTATGTCCTTCCAGAAATCTGATCAAATTGTAACGATACAGAGAAAATAAGCATCGACCCTGCGCAAGGATGACATGTGTACATCGAGAATGATTCAAAATTAAAAAGGGAAAAAAAAAAAGAGTCTGTCTGTTTGTTTGTTTGTTTGCTTGTTTGTTTGTTTGTTTGTTTGTTTGTTTGTTTGTTTTCGGTATCACAGAACTGTCCACACCTCCTACCAGTTATAGTATACTCGACAACACGAAGTGCAAGGTTCCCCATGTCCGTGTGGTTGAGTGCGAATTGTGGTGTGCACGACACGCGCATCGATCCGTCTGAAGCACACTTGGACTGCCCCAAAGGAAAGGTGTCTGACAAGGCAACAGCATCATGACACCATAGTCTGCTAAAGGCTGCAGCTCCCTCGTGTGATGTCAAAAAGCACTACTGCTAGTACCAAAGCAGGCAGTCCCTTCTCCCATGTGCTCTAGCAATATGAGTATGGTCTGTGGGACCCACACCCACAGTGTGAAAACTTTCTCGGAGTCCATTACCAACAATCTACATCTTGCAGCACTACCAACATCATACCAAAAACAGCGCCCTATTGACAAGCAAAAGGTTGAGTCCACACACCCTGCCTGAGGCTGTGGACTCCTCAGGCATGTGTGAATGCAGGTTCCGAGCAGACCAACCAAGTCCTTTCTACTAGTTTCTAGAGCTGATATATTGTTCGCATTTACACCAACTAGCAGAGTCACTCTCTTTAAACAAAAAAAAAAAAAAAAAAGGCATGGCCATAAAACACCGACTGCTTTTTGGAGCAAGACTCCTCACACCTCGGTGGTTGAGCAATAAAGAGCCCACACATCCATCTGGGAAGTGCCCCCCCCCCCCCCCCCCCCACACACACACACACAACACACACACAACACACACACACACACACACACACACACACAAAGTGACTGCAATGGGAAAGGATAAGGGGGCCTGTGGCAGTCCAAGGGAAGGAGAGCTATGCCGTAAGGCCAGTGGGAGAGGAGGAGGAAGACGTCGAGCGCTATAGCGTTCGTCTAGAGAAAAGGAGCGGTCGGTTTCTGTGCCCGAGAGAGAGTGTTCAGCTTATGTCCTCTGGAAAAGGCACATGACCGGGAAAGGTAAGGTGTGTGTGCAGACGTCTGTGCTTTGTGTTCGTTCTTTTCTCTGTGTGCACCCATCTTCCTTTTTGTACGTCAATCTCTCCTGACTGACTGTAGTTCCGTTATGCAATCTCTGTGCCATGGGAGGACTGTGGAAACCAAACGATTCATTCTGTACGTGTAGAGAGGCATGCAAGCGAGCAATTACCTGTGAGCAATGACCATGGCTGACATGGGGCTTCACCCCACTACACAACACCCCACATGCATTTTGACGCTTTCCGGACCAGGTGCATTCAGACGAGTCCAACATTTTGAATGTATACATTCGAGAAAGCATCCAAATGCCTGTACAGTGTTGTGTAGTGGAGCAAGGCCCATGTAGACAGTCTTGACTGCAGACAACAGCGACCATGTCTTATGTGTATATATTGTCACAAGAGTATCAGAGCGCAAATCCGAACAAAAAGGAAAAAAAGAAAAACAAGAAAAAATGAATTCAGTTTTTTATCTTCTTCCTTATAACTCCCCCTGTTCAGAACCTCTTGCGTACAAGGCCGCCCACGTGGATGTAGGTTGAGCGGCGGCTGCCCCCACCCCCGTGTGTCATATCGACCCACTTGCACACAGCCAAAAGGCAAAGAGGCAAAGAAAAGAGGAAGGGAACAGCCAAATAAAACAGACCAGGTGGCAACAAAACAGATCCCAGATGACAAGTCCCACATGCAAGCACCGCCCCAACACACACAGGCCAAACCACGGGACAAGACCAACCAGGATGTCAAAACATTCTTGTCTGCAAAGAAATCAAAAAAAGTCCCAGATACATATCTATATATATATCATCAAACAGAGCTGCCGACGGTAAACCGTAGGCAGAGAGGGACGAAAGGGAAAAGAGGACAACAACCGAGGGGATGTGACAAACTGTTTTGTCGGAGTTTCACCGATTCATATATATTTATAATTAAGGGGGAAAAAAAGGACCTTTTCCTTCATCCATTCATTCATTCACGCATTCATTCATTCACTCATTCATTCATTCAATCATTCATTTATGATATTATTCAATAAGCAAAAAGAAAGAGAAAAAGAAAAAGCAGTCGCTTACACGAGCTGGCAATCACAACGATGAAAACGAGCCCCACGAGACTGCAAGCCACGACGCCATGTGTCAGCTTCATACTGAGGTTGGTGACCATGCCCGCTGGAGGCTCGTGCAGCTGTTGTTGACGAGAGGAGGAAGAAGACATCTCTCCCCCATCTAAGTGGCTGTTGCTCCTTCCACTGACGTTGCTGATAACGGTGCTGACACCAGTCCCGACTGAGCCGCCCCCCCCCCTTCCCCGGGCGCCTTGATACGACGACGACGTCGTCCCTGACGATGAGATCCCCCGACCCCGATCCCGACCTCCCAGCTCCCAGTAATTCCCAGGTGCTCTATTCCCTCTTTCATCTTCCAGCTCAGGTAAATCTTCACTTGTCTCCGACCCGTGAGCCTGCGAGTGCAGTTAAAAAAAAACAAACAGACACAAAACCAAACAGTCATCGTCAATCGGTTGGACATACGTCAAGAATTGTCTGAGGACTTAATCAATTCATCAATTAATTGATTAATTAGCTAGTTATTCATTGATTAATTAGTTAATTAATTAACCGTTCGGATTGTCGAATACGATCATCAGTGCCATGAGCGAGCGAATGATTCCGTGAACATTTGAAATCCTTTTTTTTATAAGTCCCAATAATCCCCTGGGCGTATGGGTAATGTCAACGAGTTGCACAAAAATAACATAGCTATTAAATATTGAAAAATATTAGTCGACCCTGATAATAAATGTACATTGGCAATCTTTCTGGTCTTATACATTCATTCGCAAAAAAGAAAAAAAGAAAAAAAAAGTCGATACGGGAATTTAGCCTCTCACAGCATTCAGATCGTTCGATATAGTTAATTAAAAAAAAAAAAAAAAAAAAAAGAAGAAGAAGAAGAAGATTGTTCAATATCACCAGCCATCGCACTGGAATCGAAATTCGAAAATACGTGCCTTTCCCCCCAATTTTTTTTTTTTACCCTGTGAGGATGTGGGACTGTACAGCACCTGGTGAGAACGCCCTTTTCCATCTTTTCTATTAAAAATTTGAAAAAGAAAAATCATTTACCCTGTGTAAACGTGATGTCCTTGACCCTCTTCCAACCCCTTTTGTGTGTGGAATGCACTTTTTTTCTCCTTTCTCACTCTCAAATAATCTTTCCATTATTTTTTCCTGCACTGCAAGGGATCAAAGCCGCGACACACACCTGACACCAGGCCCTTTTGTTCCTCTCTCTCTCTCTCTCTCCAAGTCAAACAGGACGTCATTCCTATCTTTTTTCTGTTTGCCTCAGTTGATCCTATGTGTTAGTAGGTGCAGGACATGCACCTGGACGGGCGGCTGGGTTTGGTTCACGATCTGCATTTGGACGTGCAAATGCCATTCCGTCTCTCTCTCTCTCTCTCTCTCTCTCTCTCTCTCTCTCTCTCTCTCTCTCTCTCTCTGTGTGTGTGTGTGTGTGTGTGTGTGTGTGTGTGTGTGTGTGTGTTGTGTGTGTGTGTGTGTGTGTGTGTGTGTGTGTGTGTGTGTGTGTATGTGTGTTTGGCGTTGTGGGGGCGGAGGGGGAGGAGGGGAGCAAATTTTCCGTCTAGACTCTGAGAGAGAGCGATTATGCCCGCATGCGTTCTATTCGGAGGAAGACAGCCGGTAGTAGCCCCCCGATCGGGACTTGGATTTGCAGCTCTGCCTACCTTTGGTCCTTTGGTCCGCGATCTGCACCTGCACGGGCAGATGCGTATAGGTGCATCATCTATGGCCTCGATCGGGACTCGGATGTGGAGCTCTGCTTGCCGTCTTCACCCGAATAGAACGCCCGGTTATTATTATAGCTGTATATGGGGAAACTTACCGTCAAGATACAGCGATAATGACCGGGCGTTCTTTTTTTTTTTTTTTTTTTTGTGACCGGGCGTTCTATTCGGGTGAAGACGGGTACCTTTAATCCGCGATCTGCACCTGGACGTGCAGATGCCTGCCGGTACTTGCATAATCTGCACCCCCCAGAAGTGCATATGATATGCCCGTGTGCCTTGTGACCGGGCTACCAAGTTTTCGCCCCATCCTGCTTCTCTTTTTTTTTTTTTTTTCTGTTTTTCTTTCTTTTCCCCTTTGCTCAGTAGGATGGGAGGACTGTCGGTGGGCCGCAAGACAGGGGTCATGTGGAAAGCCCTCTGAGGATGACCGGATCGGAGCGCAACCGACCGAAACGCGTCGGGGAATGTGCGCGGAAGCTGAGATTACTATGCGCGGCTATGATGCATTGAAGAGAGCTTTCGAAATTCGAAGCGTGTACAAACGGCAGTTGGCCCCTGTTTTCACTACACTATTTTTTTTTTGTGTGTGTTTTTAACCACTACACTATTTTTCCCCTTCGCCCTTAATGACCTCTTTTTTTTTTCCTTTTGCTTCCAGAGGCTTGTACCCATCTTTAAAAACGAACAAACGAACGAACGAACAAACAAACGAAGGAGCGAGGACGCGCGAGTAGTCAAGCTAACCTTTATAATCTCCATGCTAACGACCGTGATATGTCTTTTTTTTTTTTTTTTTTTTTTTTTTTTCCTCCTTGTTTTTAGGACTTTTCCCCCTTCTTTCTCTGTTCTTTTTTTTTCCCCCTTCGCCCTTTATTTAACTCTTTTTTTTCCCCTTTTGCTTCGGAAGCTTTGTAAGCAAACAAACCTCCCGAATTTTTAACTCTTTTTCTCTCTTTTTTCCTCTTTTTTCCTCTTTTTTCCCTCTTTTTTCCCCTTTTTTTCCTCTTTTTTCCCCTTTTCACTCTTTTTTCCTTTTTTTTCTCTTTTTTTTTCTCTTTTTTTTTCTCTTTTTTTCTCTTTTTCTCTCTTTTTTCCCTCCTTTTTTCCCCTTTCTTCCTCTTTTTTTCCCTTTTAACTCTTTTCAGCTCTTTTTTTTTTTTTTTTCTCTTTTTTTCTCTTTATTCCCCTTTAAGAACAAACAAAGGGAGCGAACAAACGATCAAACAAACGAACAAACAAACGAACGAACAAATGAACAAACGAACAAACAAACGACTGAGCGAGGACAGAACTCACCATCTCATTTAGAAGACCTTCCCTTCGCTCTGCTTCGGGGTTTATTAGGGTTTGATTGATTCTAGAGCTTTCGCAGACCCATCATCGCCACTCGACTCGGTAAGGACCTGCTGAGGTAAGAAGTCAGCCGTCATCCCACTTCAACCAACCAGCCCATCCCTTTCCTTCTCTCATCGGGATCAAATGACCACAAGAGGAGAGGGGGGAAGGGGGGCAGGGGGAATAAATAAAAACAAATGAAGTAAATCAGAAACAAAAACACACAATTAACACTGGGGGGAGAGGACGAGACACATCACATGGTTCGTTAAGAAGGGGAAGTGCAACAAAGAAAACGGAGGGGGAAAAAGGAAAAACGGCACAGTATTTATAAAATAGGAACAGGAGAAGGAACGACAAACACCTGCCCAAGAACTTCAAGAGCCCCGCAAGGGGGGGAAAGGGGGGGGAGGGGGGAGGGGGGGGGGAAGAGGGGGAGGGGGATTGTTTCGTGTTCAATTGCGTTTTAAATTCTAACCCATTAGTTTTTCCTCTGTGTTTTCTTTGATTTCTTCTCCAAGACAAGAAGGGCAAACAACAACAATAATAACAATAATAATAACAATAATAATAATAATAATAAGAAGAAGAAGAAGAAGAAGAAGAAGAAAAAGAAGACAAAGAAGAAGATGGGCGAGTATTGCCAAAAATAGAATTAGCAATTGCTTTATGACAATCAGAGAGAGAG